AAATATAAAATTAGTTCGTTGTAATATGATTGGTGAATAACAGTATGCTTCATGAGCCTTTATCAAAAACTTTCGTGCGTGGTGTTATTTTGTTTCGCACGAGAATTATAGATTTTTTTTCCTAGTGTACACATCAATTTGTTTTACAGTTGTAATATATTCTATAACAATACAAAATAAATGCTACTAAAAGTTACACATAACTATATACTACATACAGTATGTCAAGTTAACTTCTCGTAGAGCATTGACACTGCTACAACTTAAAAGCTCCTCTCCACAATCAAGTCCCCTCAACACCCTCGTCACTTGATCTACTTTTCCGTAAGAACAACCAATACCTCCACAACACTACCTACAGGCCTAAACACATGCTCCTCACAACATAATCTCAGGTCATCTACATAAATGTCCACCCTTGCCACCCCATGACCCCGTCCCTGCCAAATTCACAACATTCTCCCACAATCCATCAACATCACAAGTGTTTACAAACTGTGTGAGTGTGACTCACCGCCTCATCTTTACCCTAACACACTATCGGGCCAGCTTGTCGACGCTTCTTCACATATACTAACCCACATTATCAACAAGATCACGCTTATGTAGGCACATAAGCACTGCCAGGAACAACGTCGTAACTTCCACTAAATCCGGGTCAACAATACTAAGTAAGATAAGGAGTTAAAAAAAGGTAGCATCGACAACTATTTATAAACATGCACAAGTCGTGATAAACGCGGCGTGTTAACGGGCAGCATCGACGCCAGTTCACCAGAAGTAAGTGGTTGGACAGCTTTTTGTGGTGGTTTTTACAGCTGAAACTCGTGGATGGCAGGTTTAGAATCCCTCCAGGCTAGTGACGTGAACGGCCTTCCAACTCGCTCTGGCATATCATTTCGCTGAAAATTTTCCAACGTTTAATCTTGTTTCTTCTATACAACTGTTTTTACGGAGAATATACGCTACCTCGCTAACTCAAAGAGAATTAATTACACAGCGATTTTTTTTTGCACGGTAGACCAGATGTAAAGCAATAATACAACAGTTCTTTGAATATATTAATGAAACGGTTCTGATATATATATATATATATATATATATATATATATATATATATATATATATATATATATATATATATATATATATATATATATTGTATAGGTATATGATATATGATTGATTTTAAACCAGTACATATACAGGGTCTTAGAAAAGTCCCTGTGCACCTGTAATAATTAGTACTATAATTGTTCCTTGTTATACTTATATAGTTATATATCTTGTTCTACTTACAGTAAATATTAGAAATGGAATCCACTTCCAATATTTACTGTGATAATTTAAGATATTTATTATAAGTGGAAAAAGGTAAATAGCAAAAAATTAACGAGTGCAGCTACACAGGTATTTTTCAAACACTCTGTATATTTACCATCACTTAATAGTCTCATTACCATTCTGTCACTTTGTCCATACTTCCCATCACCTGAGCCAAACACCTCATAATTGCGAGGCACAACAATGGTCCTGTATCCTGCACATTAGGCGTAAGGCCTCGGGTAGTAGTACATCTACCACAACATAACACTGTACCAAATCATCCGCATGGCTACCACCTGCCAATGGTAGACACGGCTGCCCTAACTTAGCTGCATTAAGTCGAGTAATAAGCATCGCTCTTCAAAATATAACGGAATAAGAGTGACCTTGTGGAAACGTGATTCACTTACATGTATTTCTCCACAACAACAACAAAACTACCAGAGCCAATTCCTGTACCCTCCATTAGTGTTCCTGCATCACTAACAACAACCATCAATGTTCCTATAAACACTGACAACAACCAGCATCAGTGTTCGTGTGTCACCATCAGTACCATCAACAACAACTACCAGTGTTCGTGTATCACCATCAGTACCACCAACAACCACCATTAGTACCATCAACAACAACTACCAGTGTTTGTGTATCACCAACAACTGCCACCACCACCACCAGTTTCCCGGAACAACAATTTCAAGTGTTCCTGGAGCAGACAGAATGCGTGTTGTTTCTCAGTGACATCATCGTGAACGTGACCGTGGCTAGCGTTCCTCCTCCACCAGTGTTTATGGATCATTAACATGACATACTCCGACAGCCACCACGCACCAGTAAAAATAAAATAAACTCAAATTCAAGCAGCAAGAAATTCCGATCATTATCAAATACAGCTGACAATGGCGGAGTGGAATTATTAAAGTGGTATTCCTTGAACTCAAACTGTTTAAATAAATTATTGAACTGAAATTGTTTCTTAAATTCTCATACTGTGAAGAAAAAAATGAGTGGGTGGCAGTGGTTATGTGTGGGAAGCAGCTCCACGTGGTTCACATAATATCAATAACAAATAGCGTGCGTTTCTTACACGATAATTTGAAGTTAACAAGAAACTTCTCGTACTAGAGCGATAGTGAAAGCTGCCGGCGGGGCGGGGCGGGCCACCACCAGCTAACAACATCTGGAGGATTTCCAGAGTTATATTGGGCACATAAAATACAGTGACGTGTTGCACTCTTGCTGGCCACCTGTCAAAACAAACTTTGCTTTTATTCATTTTCTATTTCTTCCTTTCAAAGAGAAACTTTAAGATGTTTCCCACTGTTCAAAATATAGTCATACAGAGCAGGTATTTTTTTTTAAATAAATTGTATTTAGAGATGTCACCAGTGGCTTCACTTTACGATAAGTTGTGGTTATCAGCAGAACACTGAAAACTATCATTTTGTTAAGCCATAGGACAAAGACGGTATATTCTGAGGCTCATTTATTTTAGCTGACATAAACCACTGGCGCCATCAGACTCATGACACAAATACCAAAACAATAACAACACAGTATTACTAGCGATAAGTTTGATAATAACTGCAGCTCCCTTCTCATCAACTCAACTTTTAACTACCGCATTAAATTGGTTCCAGTCACGTTTATTGATCAAGCGAATTAAGCCTCTCTCGTAACTGTTTACAATTTCACAAGAATTTTCCCCTCCTCCAACATTCTCGGAATATATGACGTGAAACACAGAGCAAAGCACAGAACACAGACTGCAATATACGTGTATTTATAATGGTTAACAACGACTAGGAATATACATCGTCTTCGTACAGCTGAGGGCGAGCTTGTCGGGTCTGCCATCAGATGCCTCTACCATCCACGACACATGTAGGCTCCGCCTCTCTCCGCCCAGACTCCTCCCACCCGCCACATAAACGTTTGTCTCCGCCCCTTCCGCTGGTTGCTATGGAAACCACCTCGGCCATTGATAAGTCGGCCATCTTGGATCGACGCCAGCGCTGTATACAAACACACGGGCAACCTCTGAACTAAACCAAAAGCGCGGGAAAATTCCACACCGTTGGAGCCCCGTAAACCCCTTCCGGTACATCTCATAAGCGATTATTTTCCAGCTTTCTGCGGATAAAGTGTAACAGATTTTTTTCTACGAGAAACACTATACTTATACATAAAAACGGAAATAAATATGGAAAGTGAAAATATTCCGTAGAGATAAACACGAGATATGGCTGAAGATCGATGAGGACGTTGAGTGGAAGAGAATCTCCTGTCTCCATATGGGTGCTACATAAAACATTATCCCTTTTTTCTCTCTTTCTCCTCCTCTCCAAAGCCCCGCTATTTCTATACCCTACGAAAAAAAGTTTTGATGAGAGAGACGACGAAGAAAAACTAAATTATTGGACACAGACGTAGTGGAGAGAGTAAATTCAGTACACATGGAAAGAAACACTACAACATAAACATGGGAGACAAGCACTACAACACATACATGATAGAGAAACACTACAGTACACATACATGGGAGAAACACTACAACACAGACATGGGAGAGAAACACTACAACACACAGACATGGATAGGAGAGAAACACTACAACACACAGACATGGATGGGAGAGAAACACCACTACACACAGACATGGAGGGGAGAGAAACACAACAACACACATATATGCAGGGGAGAGAAACACTACAACACACAGACATGGAAGGGAGAGAAACACTACAGTACAGACAAAGGAAAGACACACTCCAGTACTCAGACATAGAGGAGATGCATTCCACCGCGTAGCAATGGTGAGGAAAGGAGAGAAGAGACACTGGAATACATATAGCAAGAAAGAGGGGGTGAGGAGGAGCTCTCCCCCCTCTCTCTCCCCCATAATGATGGCTTCGTGTGGTGTGTGTGTGTGTGTGTGTGTGTGTGGCACAAGACACGGTGCCACAAAGAGGAGGAGGAGGATGGAGCGTGAAAGAGGGAGGGGATTTAAGATTACGCCTCGTCAGCCCCACCCTCATCCACCAATCCTCCCTCACCATACGCACCAGCCCACCCAACCAGCGTACGTTCTGTATCATTATATAATTCAGCCACAACATCCTAGTCCATCCTTTCATCTATCTATCTATCCACTCATCCTAGCATATTACCTCATCCTATATTCGACTCAGCCCAGATCAACCTACCCACCCACTTGTTTATTCCCTGTCTAATCATTCAACCCCGCCATCCACCCACCCACCTATTTAGCAATTCAGTGCAATCTAACCAGCCTAGTCATCTGTCCAATCATCAACTTAGCTCAATCTAGGCGGTCAGTCCAACCAACCAACCAATCCAAGTAAGCCCAGCTATCTACCCCAACCAGACTTTTCACACACACACACACACACACACACACACACACACACACACTCCTCCAACCCTTGAAAGAGTTTATGAAACGTCCTATTCGGGCCATATCTACAGGGGCCTGGAGAGGACCCCCACACACAATTACGTGCTTGAGAGGGAAAAAAAAAGTCTAACCCTTTACCGCTGGCCTCACACCCAGACGACGGCACCAGGATCAACAAACACCCCCCCCCCTCCTTACCTCCCCATCGTCCCCACTCCCTGTACAGAAGAGTAACCCAAGTCTCTTTGAAACTCACCTTCAAAAGATGAGGCGCGCTGCTCATCAAGTCTCTCGCCATAGAGCTTTCCCCATTCTCTCTCTCCCCCTTTCCATTGCTCTCGTGTACTTCACAGTCAACAGTACAGTATGTCGTAACGCAGACCAGATCGATGTGGCTACTCCCAGACGCACACGACTCGACAACAGTCTCCTTCTCCTTTTGATAAGGAGTCTTTTGTGTACATACACACACAGCTCTTACATTAATCGCAAGTCAGAATCTTGACATCATTTTCGTCTAAGGCGTCCGTAACATAGCAAGCATCAAAATATTATATTAGAAAAGAAATAAACCCGTTATATTTGTTTTCTTTGCCGCGAACTTGTAAAAAAGTTATTTCAAGTAGTAAACAGTAACATCTCTTACACCTATTTCCAACTCAGTTTCAAGTTAACTACCTGTACTGTGAAACAGAAGACTCGGTATTAATTTCAAGTTCACTTACCCTGTGGAGTTGAAAATTAATTTTCATACAAAAAATATATTTTTTTTTTCTTCACAACAATTCACTCTCAAGTTTCAGAAAAGAAGCAATAAATATTTCGCTATGACAGATATCTAAGTTTAGTAAGAACTTTCAGTAAAGACTAAAACTAGGACAATAAATATTTCCTCCATAACACGAGATATACCGGTACCATACCTCAAGAAAAAGGATTTTTTTCTGTACAATGTTTCAGTCCAACAAGTTAACACGAGACCATATTCTTATCCAGTGTATTATTTGCAAGGCGGCCCCGAGGATGAGGGCTGGGAGGGAGGGAGGGCCACCCTTGTAATAGGCACAAGATTGGGTTACTGTGCACAACAATGGCTAGAGGTTAGGATACACCCACCACCAACACCCACACTCACATCGCCCCACCCTGTCAAGCCATCCTAGCGCCCCCCCCCCCTCACACAATTACGATCTGTATCTCTACACATCCATATACTGTACACCATCTATAGGTCATTCGGTTAAGTGAGAACGAGAAGCAAATAATTCCAATCCACGTCTTTAACGGATATATAATCAACAAAGATACTCTCTCTGCTTGAAAAAAGAATTAAACCATAAAGAACAAAAACCACGTCACGGTATTTCATTGTACACAAGATCTACAACAAAATAGCTTACAAATAATTTCACTACACGTGTTCAGGAGAGACTTACCAATGGTCATAGTGCAGTATTCAGCAGTCTGCGAAATGTCTCCCAAAGCCGGCATTCTCCGAGCTCCCAACAATGGATCGAGCGAGACAGGCTTTTCTCTTAATTCCCGAGTTATACAACATATGTAGACGAGGAACTGCATCCTGCCTTGGTGCACGAAAACCCTCGCCTCTTGTCCTTCACGAATATTTACTTAAAATATCCCCAGAAACCTCTGTCACGGCCATGACAACAGCTGACAGCGGTAGTATAAACAAGAACTGTGCACTGACTGGATATTGTGAGACGTTTCTACATAGAGAACGTCCCACCTTAAATATCTGGGGGGACAGTTTTACTCAACTCAGACTCTGGAGGACAAAATCAAATCACATGTGCTGAGTTCCAGGTGATGACTGACAGTGACGACGACTGTAAACAATATATCAACACACCTTTATAATTCCGCATGAAAGGTCCTGATTGACAGTTACGATGAAAATACACAGTCCAAACATCCATAATACGGGACAAATACGGGACCTTGACAGTCTATCCCCAGAGGTTAAAAATACCCACCCCACCAATTTTATCCCGACATTCTGCGACAAACAGTTATCCAACAATTATTAACACAAGTTTCTGTGATAAAGATAATTTGAAATAAAACTTACTGCAACAAACCGCATCGTCTCCCCACATGCATTTCCACCCTTGGCAATTATTAGATCAATAGTGATAAGTCGCAGTGAAGGTCAAACTCATGCTGCATGGCACACCTCCAGAGTCGCGGAGGCTCGCTGCTACCATGAACAGTATATACCTCGTTAGTCAAGGTGAAGGGATATACAGTACCCAACTGGTCGACCTAAGGAAAAAGCACAACAGTACCACCCGAAAATAGCATCACAATTACAGGGAGACTAACATGGGATACTGGACGTTCACTTGGTACTGGATGAGAAAAAATTAAGGTTGAGAATTCATAACAGATTGTTTTCCTCAATTCTGTTCTGTAACTGGTGCTGGTGAACGTATCTAATTATGGCTGAGTCCCAGATTAATCTTGATGCTATTTTTATACGAATTCAGGAATATTCAGCGTGTGAACCTGTGAAAGTTTGTAGCCTTGTGGAGCAGTGTTGTGAGAACAGTCGGCACCGTCCGCCACCACCTACTGCACCCAACTACATCATAATGGCGATGTCTACCTACTAATACAAAATCATGATGACAGTCCCGAAATACCAAGTTTTGAGAAGTTATTTTTACTGAAAACAGCAGAGTAGAGTCACGGTCAGGATTGCACCAGAGTATATATATATATATATATATATATATATATATATATATATATATATATATATATATATATATATATATATATATATATATATATATATATATATATATATATATATATATATGTTGTGAATGTATGTCAATGAGTAACATCTTGTCATCAACTTAACACGTGGTGGAGCAGGACACACTGACAGACCTCTGCTCCATCGGATGTTATCGACTTCAATCTCATTTTTGTATAAAAATAGGCAAAAAAAATGTTAAACAAATTCAATTATGAAGGGAAGAAAGGATCTGACGGTCAAAATATGTAAATAGAAGTAGAACCTTATGCAAATACTGGACATTATTATTCAAGTGAAATTTTAAGTTTGCAAATTTCTCGCAAAAATGAGCAAAAATGCTATAAAATTTCAATTTGGGTGGGAGGAAAGCATCTGACGGATACAATATGTAAATATAAGTTGTTCTTTATGGAAAATAAGTAAACTTTGGCTATAAAGTCATTTTAAATTTGTTGCATATTTTCCAGATTTCTGCATTCTTTCCAATTCTCTTAGAATTTTTCCAATATTGCAAATATGCATTTAGGAATTTTGCCAAGTCGGGTACATTCTGACAAATAAGGTATATGCCTATACTTTATTAAGAAACTTCAAATCTATCGGGTGATGAACAACGTCAAGAGTGACGGTGTAACACTCCTCTACCGACAATAATTTGTACGTTCAATTCATGTTCATTCTTCTTTCAGTAATGAAAGCTTTTGTTAAACGACCCACCCACCCCATGTCTTTGTATGTAATAAGTCATTTTTGTCCAATGTATATTTTCAGCCTTCGGGCTGCCAACTTTTTCAATAAACCGTTAATTATTATTATTATTATTATTATATCTTAACCCCTGAATACTAAACCAAGGCAAAACACTCAAAAAATTTTCGAATTATCCAAAAATAACAAACAATAACGTTGGATCATGCTCCCTCGTGGCATATATTACAGACACCAGAAAATGTTTATAAGACATGGGTGACGTGACGTACAGGCCAACACGTTGCTTCCCTAGAGATCAAGAAGACTTAGTTATGAAAACATGTTTAGCCAGGGATGGTTTATATAACTTTCACTCACTAACGTGTCAAGTCTATGGTTACTCACTGCCAACTTTCAAGGGCATGAGGAAGTGGGTGTAGTGTGTGTATGGCTCAACTAACCTGAACTTTCTGTATTTAAGTATAAAAACCCCATGAAATATTTTGTGTATCTCTTTAAACATATTCAGAGATCAATACTTGGTAGGAGGAACATGGCCGTGATGGGAGCGACATGAGACATTCAGAAGGAAACGCCACATTTACTCAAGAGGTGTATTTGATTATCCTAATACAGCGGGTAGTGGGGCCGCAATATGAGAGGCAGTTTGGTGAATAAGAGGACTCACAGTGAGAGGGTTAGGGTGCCCGCAGGCCTGGTAGAGGGTCCAGAAATACATTTTTAAGTCGAGCGTGCGTAGCATCCACCAGTACACAGTATTACCCCAAAGTGACAACTCTCGTACACTTTTCTATTGTCGCCTCGCCGTCCTTCTGTAAAAAATTGCTCCCACCTGAACTCTCAAGGTTTTAATTTACTCGGTTTTGTGAAGCCAAACAACAATCCTTCCCCGTGTACCACGTCTATTATTTACCAACATTCACCAGTAACAAATGTACTCCCACTAACTTTTAAACTGCGATCACTATCTTGGCATACTGCGAAATGACATTACGAATGGCAGTTTCTGGAATATGCGTTGTGTCGACTCCACCCTGCCACGACCAAGAACCAACCGTTGACCATGAATTCACCAGCTAGCCAGAATGTTTCCATGATCAGCAGATAAAGACTGCCACAGGTAAACATGGCGAAAGGACATGCCCAGATACAACGTGAGTAGGAAACAATGTTAGCATGGCTAAGACTTCGTGGTCAACACATAAACAAGGTCGTTACTTGCGTAAGCTGCCTGAGTTCTCAATCAGGTACATATTTAACACAATCATCTGCGGGAGACGCGAGTAGTACACGGCAGCAACTCCGGAAACAATCACACCAAACCTTCACTTTACAAAATGCTCAGAGTACCACTACCTATGTGTGTCACGACGAGGGAGTCACAGTCCTCACGTGAGTGGACGAAACGTCAATAATGTCGCAGAACTGAACCCTGAGAGCTCTTAGAGAATTCGTTCTGACCTTCGCTTCGGACCTTGACTTTGGTTCAATTGTAAACAGTTTTCAATCACTGAGTCCAAGGCTGTCACCCTCCGAGTTTCTTACGTTTCATTGAGTGATTAACAAGTTCTAGTTGCTCCCTTTTTGGCGAAATACACATTTGCAAGCACACATACAGCTTAAAAATACCTGTAAATAAATACACACGAAAGTAAAGACCAAACCCATTGCCAAAAACACTTCCTTCTCCAGGGACGCTAATAAGTGTCCTCTTACGTTACAATGTATACAGCAACCAAACACAGCTAACTGATTCCCCCTTTCCAGGAACACAGCATGAACCTGAAGGCGACTACAGGTGG